CAGGTAGGTAAAATAGTGGTACTGTTTTAAACATATAATAAAAAGCTTTATATTATAGATAACATATTTTATTATTTAAAATAAAAATATAGAAATGACAATTAAAATTTATAATTTTTTCTTATGTGTGTGAGTAATAAAGAGTCTATATATTGATTTAATTATGGCTTAGAATTATCCGTATATACAAATTTCATACGAATCCGTTTAGTACTTTTTGCATGAAACAATAAAAAACATACAACCATCCTCAAAAACTTTCGCATTTATAAGAGGATTGGTAGGATTTGCAATATAGTTTAGGCAATAATATCAAATAAATAATATGAATGCTTATATATATATTCCTCGTATTTAGAAATATAAAATACATTATGTGTAACTTCGTTATTAAAGTTTCGTAAAATCGTAAATTGAAAGTTATAGTATAAAAATATCGTCAAAGTACATCACTAAGTGCCTAATAAAAGCTCTAGGGAGAAGACATAAAAAGTATACTAACGGTTCAATTATCCGAAAACCGGTTCATTTCGGATATTGTTATTATCGTAACGAATTTTACGGGCAGAGAAACGGTAGGAACTTAATTTCGACCTGGTGTATGAGAGAGGGAGCAACATGTTCACTTTATAACATTCAAGATTAAATTGTTGAACGTAATTCATATTATAATACAAAATGTTATTGCCTACTATTAAATACACTCATTATGATTCATGATTTGACGTCGTTATTAGCAAATAATTATCGATTCGATTTCAATTTATACACCGGTGCAAATTTCGAAGTTCAGTAAATCCTGGTCAATCAGTGATTCAAGTAGCGTGCCATCGGATAATTGGCACACCTAACCTCGCCGACCGACTGCAACAGACAATGTATGTTATTACATCTTATGGTTAATAAAACAAGATTGATATATTTAATTATAACTCGTTCGTTTGTTATCGGCATTGGTTGGTCTGGTATTAATATGAATTTAAATACATAGGTGAAAACCGCCGTGAGTGTAGAAGTACTGCTTGCAAGCAGGCCGTATTGTTTTCGATCATATCTCATTTATCATACTCGTATAAGGATCTATGTAACAGTAGAACTGAAACAGGTTTGAATTAAAATTTGTCATTTAGGTATATTGTGGTGCTTATGTTTTCTTCTAGAATGTTCTTATTATTTTCCGAAGTTTTTAAAAGACCTTTTTTTTTTGGAAAACGTCACATTTAAATCTCCCACTCAAAGTTTTTAGACAGTAAAACCGTTTTTGTATCATCCATGTCACCGACGATATGCGAAATGAAGCTTTTGCAGTCAGAACTTTTTAATGGTGCGACGTACGGACACGGATTTGCTTTTCAAATCAACATGAACCAACGATACTAATTAGCCATTACATTTAAATCAATTTAGATATACCGTGATCTCCATCTCCCTCTGTTATAAATACGACATAACAGTGAAAGCGTTAACTATTTATCAAATTTTGATTTTAAGAATTCTTGTAGAATCCCGAATCAAGTAATGTGAACTAGTGTTCAATTTTATAAATCATGATATATCCTTGGTAGAACTGAATGAAATCCGATATTGACTACTCCATATTTCTAGACGGTACGTCTCTGGTGTTTACATTACTTCTAATTTATTTCTTATATTAGTTCCTATCTTTGCGTACTGATATTGCATGTCATATAATATTTATTGTGGATATAAATTTGTTTCTTTTCATAATAATTTTGTAAATTTGGAAAAAACTAAATAGTTACTACATCAATTTTTATTGGACGTTTATGAATTTACTATCAGTATGAACACCTCCATGGCTGAGTGGCTAAGACGCCGGCTTAACGTGACGCTGTGTTCACAGTCCCGGGTTCGATCATGGTTTTTTTTTTGTTATCCGAGATGATCTCACTCTTGACCTCAAGCGTAAGGCCTAAGATGAGACCAGTTTGCCCAGAAGATACCTATTCACTCGTGCTTTAAATATTCCTGGGTTATAGGATACCGGGAAAACAGAGGCAGGTAGGCTATTCCACTCCTTGGCTGTGCGCATAATAAATGATGATCCAAAGCGCTTTGTTCGGATACATGGAATGTGAACCAGGTGGGCGTGATAATTTGCTGTACGACTGGATTCCCGGTGGTGAAAAGGTGCTGGCGGATTGAGCCGATGCAGCTCAGAAGCACACTCTCCGAAGTACAATCTGTAGAATACCGACAGTGAACCAACTTTTAGGCGATGAGACAGACTGCAAAAAGTTAATAACCCATTATCCCAAGCAAAATACAACAATTAGATATCATGCAGTTTAAATGTACTACTAAAAAAATACTTATTAAAAAAGCTTATTATAAGGTATTGGACTTGAGATGATCCAGCAATTGGTTAGGTGATTACTTCTAAACTCATTATCTTGTTTCCATTATTATTAAATGATTATGTTATCATTATAAGACCTTAGTTTCTTTTCTCTCTCTGTTTATAATGTATTGATCTGATAATGACATGGTTTTTGTAAATGTAATTTCTCTTATTAGAGCTGGTGAGTTTCTTGCTCGTTCTTCTTATCAGCCAAAAGATGTCCTGGACGAGTGGCAGGGAAAAAAAATGTTGGACAATTCAAAAGTACTTTGAAGAAGTCTATTTGAATAAAGATTATTTTGACTTTTTTTTACTTTTGTGGAGCTTGGAGTTATCGAGTTCACAAGCCCCACAAGTTTTCTGGTTCTACGGTCCACCGAATCGAGTGCGGCAAGCTGGTATTTTGCTGAGCCATCCCAAAGGTGTGAGCTTTGAGTTGGAATACTCCATACACGGATGGATTTGCGCTTTATACAAAGTAAGAAGCTGTTCCGGTGCAAAGTATTGTTTAACTCTATTAAGGATGCCCAATTTTTTGGCCGCAGTTTGAGCTTCCGTTTCGATGCTGTCACCGAAGTTGAGGTCTGAAGATAACCTCATGCCAAGAAGATCAAGATCGCCAGAGATTTCTACAGTTGTACCACGGAAAGAAAGAGCCAAGGTGAAAGGGCTCCTTTTGGCGAAGAGTAAACACGCCTGTGTTTTGGTGGCGTTAAAACTGACCAAATTGTTGTTCCCCCCATTGGGAAACAAAACTTAAGGCCGAGTTAGTCTGCTCGATTTTGGGTTTTGGATGCGATTCTGTAAAAATCCAAACCCGAATTCAAATTCACTCAGGTGTCCGCCCAGCGGCATCCGCTCAACCTTGATTCGGTGATAACTTTTGGTGGCATAAGTAAAGTAAGTTTTTTAATGTCATAGGAATAGAATATCTAAGACACGTATATTCAATCAATTTTGTTTTATATTTTGATACAAAAAATGGAATCAATAGAATTTCTACACTGAATGACGTGAATCCGGATACATGAGTGAATTCGAAATCAGGTCCTGATTTTTACAGAATCGCTCTGCCGTCCTACGATTCTGTAAAAATACAGACCCAAATTCGAAATTCACAAATTCATTCACGTGTCCGAATTCACGTCATTTAATATAGAAATTCGATTGATTCCATTTTTTGAATGAATTTGAGTGAGAACCTGAGTGAATTTTAATTCGGGTCTGGATTTTTACAGAATCGCATTGCTGAATTCTAATTCACTCATGTGTCCGAATTCACGTAATTTAGTCAAAAAGTTCTATTGAATCCATTTTTTTTATAAAAATACAAAACAAAATTGATTGAATAAACATGTCTCAGATATCCTATTTCAATGTAATTTCGAAATTCATTTCACTTGTGCCACGAAACGTTATTACCAATTTAAGGTTAAACGGATGCCACTTTTCGAATTCGAATTTCGATTTGGTTTTTTACAGAAGCACAGGGCTGATGCCTCAACATTAATATTAAAAATAGGTTATAATGGAAATTTTGTATTACATAATGTGTTTGTACATAAAAAAACTGTTTATATATGTTTTGTTCTTGGGTTCAAATATGTATTTAGCCCGTGCTCTTTAAATAATTAATGTGAATACTGTTATAATTTATCATATGTACAAGTATCAAATTCGAATACTCGTCTAATATAAACAAGTGGTGCTTGTAAGTGGGTCAGTATTGTACTACTTAAATGTTGTATTTCCTTTTAGTTATACTTGCTTTTAATATTCTAATTACAGCGCAGCATGGGAGAGAATTTAATTTAAAATAGTTTACGCGTTATTATATTTTATATCTTAATAAATTTTTTTAATAAAACTTTGCAGTGACAATACTGTATAAAATAAATTTAGGTTTCCCGTTGTACTAGATTTGTAAACCGAAGTTGTAGTTTTTCGACTTTTATAAAATTTTACTAAAAAGTCTAGATTAAATAAACGCCATTGTATCTTAAACTTGAATTTAAACCACAAAATTTAATAGGCGGTACAAAAACTTAATCATGCGGTAGAGGTTATATGTCAATGCAAGAAGATGCTAACTCCATTTATTCTCAGATCTTATTGCTCATAACTAAAGCTATGATTATTATCTATCAAATCTTATATATTTAAGCGTACTTGAGCAAATAAATTAGAACAAGAAGAAAGATTTTTTGTTTATAAAATGAAAAACAAAAAGTTTCAATAAAAAATCCAAATAAATATGTATTAATCGTAAAGAACAACCTAGAAACCGATAGCAAACGAGGTTACAGTGCACTTATTTAATATTGTTTACAAATAACGGTGTGAAATATATAATTAACTAAAATAATGATCAGTTTGCCTGTAAACAACGCTTCAAATACCTATTATTAAGGGTTATACCTATTGATATATATTAGTTATACGTATTGATACTTAAACCCGACACCAATAACGTCCATTTAATCGAGCGAGTAGCACACTTCGACTTTTGAAAGAGTCAATTCGTTTCGCATATCGAAAGTGATACACGACCAAACATCCCGGGAATCCCTACGATCAATCTTCAGGTTCTTTGCAGCTGCAGTGTGTGTACTTCGTACAGACCGGTCCGCCGCACGGCATTACGGTCCGTACCAGCGCTGACGACACCCGTCGACTACCCAGGTACATCACTATTCGATAATTCTTATATTACATTTCGTGTTACGTTGCATTAGTTTAAGAAAACGGACGATAATACTCTACTTTTTGAATTTTGAAATCTGTTTTTAAACTTTTTGGAAATATAAATCGAACCGGTATTTGAAATTGGAATACGTTACGAACTTTTTGTAGCGATCGCGATTTTACTTTTAAATTTCTCGTTAATTTATAGATTTTTTGTTAAATAATGAGTTTTTAACTGTGTGCCTCAGTTTAGGAGTTACGAAGTTAGTCTGAGCAATTCGGAAAGTTGCTGCGGTATCGTTAACGTACGCCTGTATGTAGATTTATCGGTTAAAGTTTCGTGTAGTTAGTATAGGTTGATTTAATATGGCAGCAACTTCCACGAATTGCATACGGCTTAGTTTACGTTTATAAAATAGTTTAATTATATTTATTTTTTCTAATGACGTAGCATAATTAAATCTTAAACGCATGTCACAAAGGTAACATGCTGATTTAGTGTAATCTGTGACGTAATCTTTTTATTGCGCCGTAAGGGGTTGTTTGTAACAATATACTTACTTATTGCGTGACCGTTGCTGTAAGTGTAAAACCAACATTTGGGTTGTTCTGACGGCCCTTAGTGCATTGTGGGTTACGTAACTAATGTTAAAGCGAGTTCTAGTTATTGTATTGTGTGCTTTTCAGTATCGTATTATTTTTTAATTAAGTAACTTAAAGTATGTTTGTATAATTGCATATTTTTTATGTAAAAAAGAAACGAATCACTTATCAAAATGAATTTGCTATTGATATCCTAATATAGATTAGGACTAGTTTTTGTTTGTCTGTCAGTTGAATAGTTATTAAAGAATATATAACACGATTTTATAATGTAATTAATAAATTTGGAGATACATGAAGTTGAAATTTCGCACCTTTGTATATTTTTTATTTAATTGGATGTAAAGAAGCGAGCTCTCGGTCCTTAACTATAATTCCTATTATCTAAGCCATTTATTTTTAAATTGTCGCAAAAAGTAAATAAGTATCTAATATTTTTCTATTATTTGACTGGCGGACTAATTATAATTCTTTTTGTTACCCAGAAATTATCGCTTTTTTTGGTAAAGGTTAAATTTTTGGTAAAGGTAAAAAGGTAAATTTAAAATCACAATCCGTTTTATTCTAAATTATGTAGCCAATATTTTTTTTACATAACAGGTTTCATAAATAATGGTGTTGAAGACAAAGACAAAGCAGGTTGAATATCTTCTTGGTTTTTACTATATTTTATACGTCATTCTAAAGTCACTAAGCAAGTAGTTTTTATTCATACATAATTTTCTTGCTGCTTCCGTTTTAAGTGATTTTCTGTAACAAATGGGTTTTAAAAATTTTGCACAAACTAGATGAAATTCATATTTAGTGAAATTACGATTTCAATAATGAAAATAACTAATATACGTAGGACTGGGGAATAACGAAAAATGAAATTACTTTTTTTTCAATTTTGTTTAGATTAGCTACTACAGTACGTACAGCTTAATTTGGCGGTATAGCATAAATAAAACAAAGAATTAAAATTAATATTTAATTATGAATTAACATTTCATGAATAACAGATTACGGGAATTAAAAAAAAGGGATTGCTTTTCACTAAATATATATATATATATTTGAATATTGCATTTAAAAAATGTCAGTCGTCAAAAATGTATAATTTAGCAATTTTGTAACTTTGCTTTCCGATTATTCATAAAAGAATCATCATTTATTTCTTAAAAAAATATGGCCACAGATTATAAAATAAAGATATAATGGAGATCGTTTAATTGCAGGTATAATAAAACATTTACTATTAACTCAGATTTTGTTAATCATAACTAGAACTTTATTTTAACATTCCTCTTACTTCTAATAATCTTATATAACAAGAAACAAATACAATGAAATAAGCCCAATTTATTAATTTATTAGAAACTATCTAATTTTTATATTTAAGTAACTTTGCATTCACAATGCTATACTGAAAAATATTAATGAAAAATGCTTGAATAATTCTCTTTTTGTCGCTGGCACTCTGGGCTGAACCAATGACCTTTCGCAATCAGGGGGACTTCTCTAACCAATGAGCTGCCCAGGAGCTAACACTTAGTTTCTTTCGCTAATACGGAGTGTATTAGAAACCCACGACTGCTCGCGTAAATTAAAATCTGTGTCAGCCATGTTTGAGGTAGTTTCCCGTATGTAAGAGGATTTTTAAAATCAGTCAAATAACTAAAAAATCAAATATCTCAAAAACTGTTAAATGTTTTATAATATTAGAATAGACCAACTTAACCTCAAGACTCCATGATAACTTTTTGAAATCAAATATAATGTATAATACTCGCTCATAATATTCAGTGTTTTTTTAATTTATCTGTAACAAACAATAAAGTACAAAATAAAAAAAAGAAAAAACGTTTATCTGTAAATTAAACCAATCTTCTTAGGCGGTTCCTAGTTAAGATATGCTTGTTCTAGGCCAGTAAAAACTGCGTAGTTGAAATACATATTACACATTGAAAGGAACGGTAGGATATAATATATATTTTTAAAAAAACGTGAAGATTTGATTATGTAAATGCAAACTCATAATATATCGTCCCCTTGTAAGAACATCTAGCAGATATTACGTGTTCTCCAGCGCTGTATTTTTATATATCTTCTCTCGGTTACACTCAATTTTCATGAATAACCGATAACGGAAATTAATAAATAAAACTAAATAAATAAAATTTTGTTTAAATCGAATCGAAAACGCATTGAAAATGGATCGCAACCGAACGAAACTACACTTTTTAATGGTTTTCCTATTCTATAAAGTGACATACGATACAATTCCAGCTAAAATAGAACTGCAATTGTATCGTATGTCACTTTGTAGAATAGGAAAACCATTAAAAACTGTAGTTTCGTTCGGTTTCGATCCGATTCCGATTCGATTTAAACAAAATTTATTTAGTAGAATTGGCCCCCTGGACAAGTGCGAGTTCCGTATGTGATATCGTGATATAATGCGCACGAATAAAGAAAGAAACCAAAAGTTATTATTCAATGATTCCGCGTAGAGTATCAAATGAAAGGGCTTAATTTGCACATATAAAATAATATATATAAATTTATTTTATAGTGATAGCTATATTATCATAGCGAAAAGACAGCGTGTCGTATGCCACAACAGTTTGTTTTGTTATAAACAGTGGCATGATTATCATGACACCTTAGATCCTATTCGATTGGTTTTCGAACGAAAATTCGGAAACTTTCGAATCGTTCTTATAATTTTGTTAAAATCGTATCCGATTAGAGTATCTGTGCATCAGAGGTAGTGTCAGGTTTTAACTCCGTTGTATCAAATATTATCGAAACATACGTTTCTTTGGAGTCGTATTAGAATTTTGAGGATATAAGAAATTTATTTTTCAAAGAAATAGAATAAGCCTTCAGCAGAGCGATTCTGTAAAAATCTGAAACCAAATTTGAATTGACGTCATTAAGAGAAGAAATTCTATTTATTTCATTTTTGTATTAAAACACAAAAACAAATTGATTGATTATACTCAGATATTCTATCAGATATTCTATTCCTATGTCGAAACTCACTTCACTTATGCCACAAAACGTTATTATCAATTCAAGATTGAGGGGATGAGGAGAATTCAGACAGCTGAATGAATTCGAATTCGAGTATGGATTTTCAGAATCGCAGGACAGGTGTCATGTTATTTCACACGAATAGTAACTATTCTATTTTATCCCGCCGCTCTTTCGCCTTATTTTCATTTCTGTTGTCTTCGAGATTTCGTTGATAGAATTGAAATATGCAATGAGTCTCAATTACGTTTCGAAGACTACGTACAAAACGCGAGTAAAATCGATCCGGCTTGCTGTAGCGAACAGAATACTCTGTATCTAATCTAGGTATATGAGAGGTTCCCGGGATACTTTGCCAGTTACCGACTACACGGGAGGGTGGTACGAAGGGTTTGGCAGGGTAGGCCAACTGCACTGAACCGACGTCCCTTGCAGTTAGAGAGCCCTGGTTTAGTCAGCCTCTTGTCCAGGTCGATGAAATGTTAAGATTTAGTTCCCTTCGGTATAAAAAAATAACATATACCTTATTTTTTTATAAGGTACGATGGTCAAATGAACTAGTTCTTGCCCCCGTGAGTTGCTGGAGGCGTGTTTTATTGTTATATTAGAGTTCGATGGCGTTGTATTAGTATATTTGGTCTTCAGTGTGGAAGTTAAGCAACTTTCATATGGGCCAGTCATAAGATTCTTATTCATCCTTATCCTTCATTCATCCTTAGAGAAGGCCGGGCCTTAGCAATGAGAGAAAATCAACTTGTTCCCTGGTACTCTAAGATGGGATTCGAACCCATGACTTTTCGTAATCCGGGCGACTGCTCTAATCACTGAGCTACCCAGAACTCTATTTTTTTAAGCATTTTTACAGAATATTCTTCAGTATAGCATTGTGAATGCGAAATTGAGAAAATATAATAAGAAATATGTTCGTATTTGAAGATCACTATTATAGTTATAGCTGCTCGATAAATTAGTCGCGTTGTTTACGAATATCACGGTTTTATTTGTGTTGGTTGTCAAGAGATGGCGCTAGGTCAATTTACATGATTTTATTATTTATAAGTAAAAGTTTTCTTGACAATACTTAATATTATAAAGAGAAAAACATTTATTTGTATGCATCGAACAGGCCCCGAAATTACTTACCCGATTTTAGAAATTATTTCAGCTACGGGAAACTTCATCATACGCGGGTGGCATAGACTACAATTTACATGAGCGTAATCGCGGGAAAATAGCTAGTGTAGCAAAATTATACCTAATAGGTGCTAAGTTTGGATTCTGAACAATATATGTCATGTCATATCTAATATTTATTTACTATTTCATTTACTCAATTGCTCGATTTAGTAAATATGTGTGAGTCCAACGAATTAGCGGAAATCGATGTGTCTGTCCGCGCGTCACAGCCGGAACTCGGTCCGTCTTCACTCAATACCACAGACACGGGATTGCTGTTTCATAGAAACGAAGAGAAATACAACTCTATTTTTAGTATACTTATATTGGCATTCAAGTTGTTCTTATTTTACTCTATTTTATTTTCAACTTGTTTAATTATATTTCAAAGACATGATTTCAGCTTTACAATACGCTAAAGTAATAATTTGAAAAATCTCTATTTTTAATTTAGTTTTCAACGTGCATTCCTTCCTAATATAAGAGAGACTAAGATAAGAGAAACAGTTGATATAACTGAACTAAAAGATAGCGTCGCTCAGTGTAAATATTAGCGACTTAACGTGCCTTCTGAAGCACGGAATAGCTCGAGATGATAATTTTTTGGTCACCCATCCCGTGACCGACCCTTGCGAAAGTTGCTTAACAAAGACGTTCGCAACATTTTTCAGTTATGTGCGATTACACTGATCTCCTCCTTAACCATCCTTATGGAAGGCCTGAGCCCCTGCAGTGAGGATATAAGAGGTCTGATAGTGGTTATGATGATGACACTGACCTTGACTAAGTAACAGACTGTTAATAGATAGAATGCTTCGTTTTAATAGTTTTTCTTTATATTTCAGATATCTCTGCTCAACGACAAAGTTATCGAGTGAGTATAAAATATTTTGTATAATAATTTACAGCCACAATATTGACATTTTTTTATATAATGCGTAATTATAAAAAAAATTGACCAATTAACTTTAGCTTTACCCAAGTACTTAAAAACTTATCAACCGACGAACAGTAATGACTTTTTTATAGTTATTGCGAACAGATGGGGCCGTTTACCGACTATCATCATGGCATAACTTTTTATTTTACTTGAAGGGAAAACGGTGGCGAATCTCCGCTCATAGTGACCGATGAAAATGAATGTGCAACTCAATATTATGCACTATGATAGAGCACTCACGGCAAAATCACAAAGAGTTCACTGATTTTGTCCAAAATAGAACGTTCAAATTAGCTGTAATTGAAAATCAGAAAACTAGATAATATTTTTAAGGGGCTATGGTAGACACAAACGTGAATTTACCTTTTCTCGATAGAAAAATTATCATCAATCACCTCTAATTTACTATTTTTAAATTTTTTGTTGTAATTATATCTTTTTTTAGTTTACGAGTAATTAATTAAAAAACTGTTTTGGCGTGCTCTTCACATCATTTCCTTTGGCATTATGAATGTCAAACGAAGTTTATTAATATATTCTTTAAATTAATTACACGATAATAAGCAAAAAATTTAAATAATGAAGAAATAAATTTTATTATTGTTGAAATTTAGATATAAGTTTGGAATTATGTTTCTTAATAAGTATATTCAAATTTTAGCACAGCTTAGAATATGATCTAATCTTGTACTTTCTTAATTACAGTTTACTTTGACTTCTTATTTTCCGTCTTAATTTCATTTCCAAGATGTCCATTGACCACAGACTTAATAGCATGTATCTGTGTTTTATTTACGTCTTTAAAATCCTTTAGTAATTTTATAGTCTTATCAGAGTCTGTGTTACACCCGTAATATTTAAAGTCCTCTCTGAACTCGGGCTTGGACGCCATTCAGGATATTTATTAGGGGTCTTTAAATATCTTCCACCAAGCTACGAGAAACAGCTTAAATGCTATTCTGGAATTTGAAGCAAAATTGGTTTCTGCAAGAACCTTCATAATTTAAAGCATCATTTTTCTAAACGCTTTAATTAGTATTATCTCATAGATATATTTATTTTCCTTAATAAGCAAGTGTAATGTTTATATTGTGATACGTTGATAATTTTGCAGGATGTTTATCTCCTATTCTTTAAAAAACCCTAAAGCTATTATAAAATGTAACAAATTATAATCAAATCAATAAAATATATTCAGAGTCATCTATTAAAATATTTATGTAAGTCGAAATACTGGACCATTGACGATTAATAATAATCGTACATCTGCGAAATTTGCTACTACCATAAATTAAAACTACTGGTAATAAACTCGGCCACTTCTTCATTTAATTTCACCTCGTAATTGATATAAAACTAGGCATTCGTTTCGTTTTGTTGGTATTTTAATAGAATTCATTTTTATCAAGATCCTTATTTCCAACTTTTTTATTACGTCAAAAACATGCGAACGTCGAAAGTATTTCATAATATTTTTAATCAACATTCTACTACGACTGCCTTACATTAAAATTGCGAATATTCTCTGAAAGCAAAATAATATATCGAGCACCAAAACATTATTTGCTCAGCAAATATTACATAGTCAACGATTCAGCAACTTAGTTTTTATATAAAAAAAACCTTTTAAAATGGAATTCAAATTTTCTCCCTAGTAAGCTACCTGCTACGAAGTTAATTGATCACAGAACAGAAAATATTATTCTTAGAAAATTCTTATTATTCTCGCTCGTTATTTTAATTAACAAGCTGTTGAAAGCAAGAGCGGTTCGATGGTCATTGTTTCTCTTAACTATCTTCTAATGAGTGACAAATAATACGAATAGAAAGGGGCCCTACATTTCGAAACCAGGATCGCAATAAATGAGCGATGTTCGTTGAAATTTTTGTAATTATTATTTCGCGATTAAGATCTTAAATTAATGACTCTAACGACAAATACAGTCCAATTTTTTCGTAATTATGTTTCAACACTATGTCTTCTGTGATCTTTCAGCAACTTCAAAATTAAAATACAAGTCTCGAGTCCTTCTGATAACTTGACAAACAATTATTTATTTAACACTTCATATACCGAGTTTAATGCCTTAGGAATTTTCTATCAGCCAATCAAATGGGTGATGAGATAAAAGATGGTAATGTACACAATTGAGATGCAGATGTTGATACTCGTAGATAAGGGAAATGTAGCTCGAGTAGCTTGTTTTTAAATATTAATTATACTTATAATTCAGCCAATTTCCAAAAAATACTCCGTCTAATAACCAAACAAAATTCTGTTCAGTAATCTTTGAGTTTAAATAAATCGTCAGCGTGACTGTCTTTTATAATACTTAAATATTTTTAAAGTAAGCTTTAAGGTTGGTACTAAAATTTAGTATAAAATACGAACATGCAGACTCGATAACACCCTAGTTAAGCTCCCAAAGGAATATATGCTGCATCCAACTGTAGCATTCTCGTTACACTACGTGTCTGAGTTATCGTGACATAAACGCTAATGGCCTGTTACGCTTGTTCCATAATGTTTCTTGTTTCAGTTTGACTGGAATTGCTTCTGCTTTGGTGGAAGTTACATCTTCTATAGACGTTTGCTTCCAATATTGAATGAACGAATAAACACTTAAATGTACATGTAACATACATGTAAAATGCAGTCTTATTGCTGGGGTAGCAAATTCTACCAGGCATCCTTTGGTTATGGAAACTAAGGAAAATGGCATTTGAGGAAAAATACTGGGGGGTTAGTGCATGAAATATTAAGTATAACAGAAAAATAAAAAGAAAGAAAAAAATTACCAAGTAAATAGTCTTTTACCTATTTAATAAAAGAGTCTCGAGACTTCGCAGGTCTAATAACCACAGGCAAAGAGTTCCAAGATTTAATAGATTTGACGAAAAATTACTTTGCTACAAAATCAGTCGAGTAGAATGGGATGATTAAAGGATAGGTTATCTGAAGACCGTAGATCTCGGATAGGATTAGAAGAGGAAAAGACGAAGCGCTCGTTAAGGTAAATAGGAGTATGTGGATGAGAGATATTGTCAATAGGAATTAGTATATTTTTATTCGAAGAAAAGAGTCCTTGTAGTTTTAAAAAATTTATAGTCCTACGTTTGTCTATATAGCTAAAATTGACGAAATATATCCAGATGTGAAATGATCTTCTTATACCATTTCACATCTGGATATTAAATTGTTAACCAAAATTCCTCCGCCAAATAGCAAGGCTCCCGTAAAGCTGACGTAGTCCGAATCGATGCTTCAAATTAATCAAAGCACAGCCTTAATTAGTTTAATCCCGGTGCTCCTAAAATTTATCACGTTCACCGAACTTGGTCCCAATTTTCGACAACTTTATCTTGCTAGGGCTCAATCAGTCAGGAGTCCTGATTCAGTATTTACTATGTCACAGTCAAAGTTTTACAGTAACGGTTGTTCTAGCAATGACATTTTTTTTCGAGAAGTTATATAGGTATACTTTAAGAAATAATAAGTATTCAATAGACGTTATTTGGTGGAAGTCCATTGTTATGACCGTAAAACTATGATCCAAGTCGGTATCCGCAACATCTGCTGTGTACCGACCGCATACAAATTCACGTATACAAACGGCAATCAATCTCGTATAGAGTTATACCTGTTTCGCCCTTCCACAGAACATACTCAGGAGTTGTTAGACCTTACAGTGCCAACCACCGAGTCGGTGGTGGTGATTGTTGCCTTTTGTACATGTAAATTTGTGTGGTAGTTGGTAGTTACGTGGTTAAAAGAATCGACAAGAAACTCGACCAAACATTATTTTTAATCTTTCTTATTTATAAATTTACACCCCTCTCTAGATAGAACCGAGTGCCACGAGATACATATTGTCATTAATTTGCTTTTTAAGAACTGATTAAGAACTAATCTGTGAAGGTATCAGTAGTGAATAAAACCCATTGGTGCCATTTCTGTTACACAAAATCTAAATTAATTAGGTGTAGATTCTCATTTCCAATTTCGTTTAGCTTTTATGTCATTCCGTAGTCATAAGTTAAATGAAATATTACTCAATTTCTATATAATAATGAGTTTATTACTGTAACCTTAGTTCATTAGAGAATTGATAATGAAATTTACTCTAGTTTGAGCCACAGATTTGCTGCTATTCTCTGCTAAAAAAAAATCTCTGTAGTCTACAAAAATAATCACGACCATTCAGCATTGCAGAATAGTTATGTTTGATCGAGTGTTCGGTCATATCCGTCGGAAAACGCAACGAATCGAATTGTTTACTCTATTCGAGTGACTCTCAAATCGATACGTAATAAACAGCTTTGTTTCGAATACAAATTCATTTAGGTGTTAGCCTTGGTTGAATTGTCGTTGTTGGATAATGGTCTCGATCATTTAACTTGTTTGTATTATTCGCAAGCTTTTGATGTAAATGAAAAGTGTGGTAGTTAGTATGATCAGTCGCGATTACGGAAGTCAAGCAACCCTCGCGTGGATTATTGGATGGGTGAGCAAAAATGTATCATTATTGAGTCTGGCTGCATTTGTAGTTAAGGACAGGCTGGTGACGATACTGATGAAATAAATATCCATTGAGTAACTTTTATAAGGGTCGGTCACGGGATGGGTGACCAAAAAAATATCTCGACCTCTTTACTACTCGAGTGAAAATGCTGCACTGAATGAAAAGAGGAGCTTGAGGCGCAGTGGTTAGGGCAAGCAGTCTGCGATACGGAAGCTTTCAAAATTTATTATCTCAAGCTCCTCCGCGTTTCGGAAGGCAAGTTAAGCCGTTGGTACCGGCTGCATTTGCATTCATTAATCCAATACGCATTGGGCCAGCGTTATGGCGTTATGGCCCATTTTCTTTATCCATCCATAAGGAAGGCCACACTGCAGTGGCAGTGGGGACGTAAAAAGGGCTAATGATGATGAA